TTGAAAGCATAGAACAATTGTAAATAGCCTGAAACATTTTTACCAAACACCGTAAATGACTACGAAATAATGATCATTCGTTAATTCGTAGTCATTTTTTATTTTGAGGTCTTCGATGCGAGTTGTTTGATTTTTGTATGGATCGATGGATAGATTATTTTCCCCAAATCGCCTATTCAGAGGGCCTGGTTTCGAATTCCGGTGATGTAAATGTTTGTATGATGGATACGAGCATTTTTACCAATATTATATCATGATAAATAACATTAAATTCATAAAGTTATCATTTGTAAGACCTGTGTTGTGACTATCTCACTGTACCTACCAGGGATTGCTCTCTTTCATTGCATCTAAAAACTAAAAGGAACTTAATGGGCTGCGCAAAAGAGGATTTTTGTCTGCGGACTATTTTGTTCATCAAACAGTAGATCGCATACAAAAACTTTTATATGTGTAGTACATATTCACATCTTAGATTAAAAAAGGGAATATATTTTTGTTTAAATTATCAGTTATGTTATATATAATTACTTAATCATATATAAATTAACTCATGGTTTGAACATTTTAAGCATTTGCATTGAAAAATAAAACATTTATTAATCGATTGTGTAGGAATCGATCCTATAGAATCAAATCGAAATATATACCATAGGCAAGTGAAGTAGGTAGCTGTCAACTTGTTGTCAACGTGTTTGTTGTTTGTTCCGAGTGACTAACTACAGTTTTCAATTTTGAATTGAATTTGTGTTTTCAGTGGTCTATTGTGGCAGAATAGTTTTAATGTTGAGTTGAGTAATCCTCCGTTAATAACTTTTTTTTGGGAAAGAGAGCATTGGACTCGTAAATTCTGACAGAGATATTTGGACTCTTAGTTTATTGTAATTATTTTTGTTTACAATGGCATCTGGTGTTACACAAGAAAACGGCAGTATGCAACGACGTTGTATTAACTGTTGTATATCAGTGCCACGACGACAGCCAATACATTCTTTGGACACGCTATCCAATTCAATGCTTAATGTTTTAAGCTCATGGATCGCACCTGATTCTGTAAGTAATTATTTACTTATATTACTAAAAATATATCGTTATACAATCGCAACCGTGAGATAATGTTTTAATTTCATTCACATGTTCAAATAAATATAAATATTTTTGACTTGTTATAGATATTGACCACCGAAGAAGTACCTGCACCACAATATGGCCATCAACAAGTCTGTTTTGGTTGTGGAAAATTCATATTAAGAAGTCGATCGTACAGGGTTTCACTACACTGTCCAGAAAGAAATATTATTCTTAGATGGACTCCAGCACATCAGGTATAGTTTAAGATATTATTATCAATAATAAATTATTAAAATTGATTTCAATGCTAATTAAAACATGACTGTGACATTATTATTATTTTTGCATTGCATGATTGAAATGTTATATTAATAATAATTTATTTAAATTGATTTCAATACTAACTGAAACATGAGTTTGACATTTTTTTTTACATTGCACAATTGTCATGTAGCATATTAATGAAATTGATTATATAATAACTAACTCAATCATGACTATGGTATATAAATAATATATATAGTTTTTAAAGATTGAGTTCTGGATAATACTGAAACTACTTGTGTATTTGTTATATTTTTGAGATCTGTATAATTTACCATATCTTGTCAGATAAATGATTTATTATTATTATTATAAGAAATATATTTCTATTGCATAAAATAGTTGTAGATGGTTTTTCATTAAATTCAAGTTCACTTATCTTTTTTTTATAGGTGTCAAGAATTTCAAGAGTTTGTGCTGCCTGTTGGCGAGCAGCTAATAGGGAAGTGCAAAGGCAACAGTTACATGATGCGAATCGGTCATCAATTGAACAAATTGATGTAGAACCAACAGAGTCTGTACCAGTGATCCCAGTACCACCACCATTTCCCGCTGGTCTATTACCTGTTCAGCCTTCAAGACCTGTTATACCTAAGATACAGTCATCAGTATATAAGCGTGCTGTAGTCACTTCATTGAGTTGTCTGTTTTCAGGATACCGGGAACAACAATGTTTATTAGTACCCAGAGTAATAAGAGAAAAGTTATTAATACATAATAAATTCTATGTTCCCACATGTAGTAGAAAATGTCAACATCACTTGAATAATGGGCGTTGGAGTGATTTAACATCAAATCTGCAAGATTTTACTGGTGTACAGTTTGATGCCATTTTGAATATAATGCAGAGAGCAGTTTCCCATTGTTTCGACTTTGAAAATATTTCTGCAATGGCTCCTTTCTTATGCCATTATTGGCTGGGAATGAATGCTGAACAGTTTGATGAACTCTTGGCATGTGTACCAAGCTTATTACAGAGTGTCAAAAATCCCCGTTTAGCACTCTGTATTTACATAGTCAAGTTAAGAACTGGGGACAGCAATGAACGATTAAGTTCCCTCTTTCAAATGTCTCGTAGGACCTTGGAGAGAAAAATGAATATAGCTAGAAGTTGTTCAATTGAAGATTTTGTGTCAAGACATTTGGGCTTTGGTCATGTAAATGTGGAGCAAGTGGCCAGCAGAAATAAAATAATCCCGGAGGGATTGTTTGGTAATCCAATCTTACCAAATGATATTAAACCCGCTATTGTTATGTGTGACGCAACTTATATATTTGTCCAGAGCAGCAGCAATTATCGTTTTCAAAAAGAATCATATAGTTTACAAAAATCTGATAATTTAGTTAAACCTTTTATGGTTGTGTGTTGTGATAGATATATTATAGATTGTATGGGTCCCTATAAAGCAACCACTAATGATGCTTCAATAACAAGGCATGATTTAAATAATGAAGAAGGAAAACTGCGTTCATTTTTCCGGCAGGATGATGTTTTTATTCTGGATAGGGGGTTTCGGGACGTAATTGAATTTATGGAGGATCTTGGTTTTAAAGCTTACATGCCTGAATCATTATTAGATGGTGAACATCAACTCACTACCCTTCAGGCTAACAAATCTAGATTTGTAACAATGTGTCGCTGGGTGGTTGAAATAGTAAATGGACGTATAAAACGAGATTTTAGATTGTTCAGGCATGTATTTAATAACAGAGCTGCAACTCATTTAAAAGATGATTTAAGAATTGCATGTGCTCTGTTAAATAAGTTTCATCCCTTAATACAGGATCCTCCAGAAGCAAGCGAGTATGTAGCTATTGCTCAAAATCGGCTTAATGAGTCCAATCATTTGGCCGAGTTTGTAGAAACTCAAAATCTTAACAGAAGACGTGCAATGTTTTCTGCAATTGATGGCAATCATCCTCACTTGGAAACCTTTCCCAGTTTAAGCATCACTGATTTAAAACGCTTTGCATTAGGCACTTATCAGTTAAAGCAGGCGCGATCATATTATGGGGAACATATTCGATCGTCTGGGATATATTCCATAGAAATAAATACTGAAATAGATGAAGATGTTCCCCTTGTATTAGGTTTAAACAATTATCTGCTTAGAGGACGTATTAAGTCTAGACACGTTGGTGGACGCACCTATTTTGTTTACATTTTAGTCGCCGTGACACCAATATAGCCAACTCACTAAGTTGTTTAGTTGGCTATTGCTGCAGTTGTATTGTAGGCAAAAGGACAGTAGGATGTTGCGCACACGTAATGACGGTAGTTTGGTACCTTAGCTGGGGGCGATTTAACGATACACATGCTCCAGCTACATTTTTAGATGAGGTATTTGAAGAAGGTATATAAGTCAATTCTTTTTTAAAAAAAGGCAATATATAAACCAGGATTAGAGCACGCTTAATGTATAAACTGCTGTGTTAATTGAACTTAGCAGAGCTTTAACTGGATATTTCAAACTCAACAGGACATGGTGGCGAGTTACAAAAGATATTTTAGGCGAAGTCACTACAGTTCCACTGGATACGGCATAACCTCAAAAATATAAAATAAAAATATCACATTAATAATGTCGATTTGGATAAATGTGTTATCAATAAATGATTATCATTATTAAAATATTTTGTCTTATTTATTTTTGATTCCTAAACCTTAAATAATATTAGATCCATTGTTGGGTTAACAGAGCATCAAAGGTGCAGCTTGAGCGTAAAGAGAATAAGTATAAATAGCACTAATATAACCGCACCTCAACAACGCCACATTTATTGAATCTGAGATGTTTGGAATAAATAGAGATAGATAGCAGCTCACCAACGCAACAGTTTACAAATATACGCTGCCCGTTGATAAGATTTTACGAAGTGCATTCAATTTTTGTTTCACTCCCAGTCCAAAATAGAAGACAAAAGGTCACAACCTAATTAAATACAGTTTAAAGTAGTATACCTAGTAATAATTAAGTATGGTATAAATATCGAATCTAAATATGACATAACCTTAAAATGCTTACGTAATTTAATATTTTCTTTAAACCACTACTTAAGTTTCTAATGATATTTTTCCTACGCAATATACACCTGATTCCCTATTGTTGTACACTTATTCCAATAAGACGCAATGAAAAAAACTTAGCCCATCTCCCAAAGTAAAATGACCATTCTCCTTTATCTACAGATTCCCATTATGCATATTTTCCGTCTTAATAATACTTTTTTTATTTATTTTCATAAGTTTTTTCAAAATCCATTGAACTTACATCGGTACTCCGCTTATATTCATAAACCCCCAAGTTGATGTCGTTGCATGGTGGATTATAGCTGGTCGTTAATTCTGCTTTTTTCAGGATAGATCTTATTTTATTATGATTCTGGATTCTTACAGGATCAATACATATGTGCTTTGTAATTCCAACGATACGGTAAGTTTGCCCTTTCTTGCTATTTGGATTGCTCTGTCCTGATTAAGTAGATGTTCTTGTAGTGATCTGAAATAGAAAAGGTAATTGGTTGATTCGAAATATATGTTAATGGTGAAATTGGTGAACGAAATGTAACCATAATAAAATAAAAAAAATAAAAATATCACTTACAATGAACCTTATTGTTGCACACCCGATGAGAATATACGGGAATCGCGCCCACGTAGAGCAGGCAGTGAAGTAGCGCATCCGAAGAACGGGCAGCGAAGTAGCGCACCCAAAGAACGGGCAGCCAAGAAGCGCACCCGATGAACGGGCGGCGAGTAGCTCCCTCAATGACATGCGGCTGAAGACGCGCACCTGATGACAGGCGGTGGAAGACGCGCGACCGATGTCTGAGCAGCGAAGTAGCGCGCCCAAAGAATGGACAGCGGTGTAGCGCACACGTTGATGGGTAGCGGAAGACGGGCACCCGATTACAAGCGGCGATGTTGCGCACCTGAAGAAGGGCAGTGTAGTAGCGCAACCGAGGACGGGAAGCGAAGTAGTGCAATCGATGACAGGCGGCGAAAACAGCGCGCGGCGAAGTAGCGCACTTGAGGACGGGCAGCGAAAGACGCGCACCCGACGACAGGCGGGGGTAGGTGCGCACTCTATGACAGACGGCAGAAGACGCACACCCGATGACAGGCGGCGGAAGACGCGCACCCGATGACAGGCGGCGGAAGACGCGCACCTGATGACCGGCGGCGATGTAGCGCAACCGAGGACGGGCTGCGAAGTTGTGCAATCGATGACAGACGGCGGAAGACGCGCAATCGAATACAGGCGGGCGTCGTAAGACGCGCACCCGAATACAGGCGGGCGGCGTAAGACGCGCTCCCGATTATAGGCGGCAGAAGACGCGCACCCGAAGACAGGCGGCGGAAGACACGCACTCGAAGACAGGCGGCGGAAGACGGGCACCCGACGACAGGCGGCGGAAGACGCGCACCCGACGACAGGCGGCGGAAGACGCGCACCCGAAGACAGGTGGGGGTAGACGCGCACCCGATGACGGGCGATGGTAGGCGCGCACCCTATGAAAGGCGGCAGAAGATGCGCACCCGACGACAGGTGGCATAGTTGCACACCCGAAGGCGGGCGGTAGAAGACGCTCACCCGATGACGAGCGATGAAAGACGCTCACCCGATGACGAGCGATGAAAGACGCTCACCCGATGACGAGCGATGAAAGACGCTCACCCGAAGACATGCGGCGGAAGGCGCGCACCCGAAGACAGGCGGGAGTGCGGGGGTAGGTGCACTCTATGACAGGCGGCAGAAGACGCGCACCCGATGACAGGCGGCGGAAGACGCGCACCTGATGACCGGTGGCGATGTTGCGCACCCGAAGACGGGCAGTGAAGCAGCGCTCTCGATGAAAGGCAGCGGAAGACAGGCGGCGATGTAGCGCAACCGAGGACGGACAGCGAAGTTGTACAATCGATGACAGACGGCGGAAGACGCGCACCCGAATACAGGCGGGCGGCGTAAGACACGCACCCGAATACAGGCGGGCGGCGTAAGACGCGCACCCAAATACAGGCGGGCGGCGTAAGACGCGCACCCGAATACAGGCGGGCGGCGTAAGACGCGCACCCGAATACAGGCGGGCGGCGTAAGACGCGCACCCGATGATAGGTGGGCGGTTTAAGATGCGCACCCGATGACAGGCGGGCGGTTTAAGACGCGCACCCGATTATAGGCGGCGGAAGACGCGCACCCGAAGACAGGCGGCGGAGGACACGCACTCGAAGACAGGCGGCGGAAGACGGGCACCCGAAGACAGGTGGGGGGTAGACGCGCACCCGATGACGGGCGATGGTAGGCGCGCACCCTATGAAAGGCGGCAGAAGTTGCGCACCCGAAGGCGGGCGGTAGAAGACGCTCACCCGATGACGAGCGATGAAAGACGCTCACCCGATGACGAGCGATGAATGACGCTCACCTGAAGACATGTGGCGGAAGACGCGCACCCGAAGACAGGCAGCGAAGAAGCGCATCCGAGGACGGGCAGCGAATTAGCGCAACCGATAAGAGGCAGCGGAAGGCGCGCACCCGAGGACGGGCAGCGAAGTAAGTAACCTGATGAGATGTGGCGGTAGACGCGCACCAGAGGTCAGGCGGCGGAAGACGCGCACCAGAGGTCAGGCGGCGGAAGACGCGCACCCGAGGTCAGGCGGCGGAAGACGCGCACCCGAGGTCAGGCGGCGGAAGACGCGCACCCGAGGTCAGGCGGCGGAAGACGCGCACCCGAGGACAGGCGGCGGAAGACGCGCACCCGAGGTCAGGCGGCGGAAGACGCGCACCCGAGGTCAGGCGGCGGAAGACGCGCACCCGAGGTCAGGCGGCGGAAGACGCGCACCCGAGGTCAGGCGGCGGAAGACGCGCACCCGAGGTCAGGCGGCGGAAGACGCGCACCCGAGGTCAGGCGGCGGAAGACGCGCACCCGAGGTCAGGCGGCGGAAGACGCGCACCCGAGGTCAGGCGGCGGAAGACGCGCACCCGATGACAGGCCGCTATCGACGCGCACCCGAAGGATGGGCGGCGGTAGATGCGAACCCGAGGTCAGGCGGCGGCAGACGCGCACCCGAAGTCAGGCGGCGGCAGACGCGCACCCGAAGACAGGCGGCGGCAGACGCGCACCCGAAGTCAGGCGGCGGCAGACGCGCACCCGAAGTCAGGCGGCGGCAGACGCGCACCCGAAGACAGGCGGCGAAGTAGCGCACTTGAGGACGGGCAGCGAAAGACGCGCACCCGACGACAGGCGGCGGCAGACGCGCACCCGATGACAGGCGGCGGCAGACGCGCACCCGATGACAGGCGGCGGCAGACGCGCACCCGATGACAGGCGGCGGCAGACGCGCACCCGAAATCAGGCGGCGGCAGACGCGCACCCGAAATCAGGCGACGGAAGACGCGCACCCGATGACAGGCGGCGGAAGACGCGCACCCGATGACAGGCGGCGGCAGACGCGCACCCGATGACAGGCGGCGGAAGACGCGCACCCGATGACAGGCGGCGGAAGACGCGCACCCGATGACAGGCGGCGGAAGACGCGCACCCGATGACAGGCGGCGGAAGACGCGCACCCGATGACAGGCGGCGGAAGACGCGCACCCGATGACAGGCGGCGGAAGACGAGCACCCGATGACAGGCGGCGGAAGACGCGCACCCGATGACAGGCGGCGGAAGACGCGCACCCGATGACAGGCGGCGGAAGACGCGCACCCGATGACAGGCGGCGGAAGACGCGCACCCGATGACAGGCGGCGGAAGACGCGCACCCGATGACAGGCGGCGGAAGACGCGCACCCGATGACAGGCGGCGGAAGACGCGCACCCGATGACAGGCGGCGGAAGACGCGCACCCGATGACAGGCGGCGGAAGACGCGCACCCGATGACAGGCGGCGGAAGACGCGCACCCGATGACAGGCGGCGGAAGACGCTCACCCGATGACAGGCGATGGAAGACGCTCACCCGAAGACAGGCGACGGTAGACCCGCACCCGAAGAATATGCGACGGTAGAGCGCACCCGATGACAGGCGGCGGAAGACGCGCACCCGATGACAGGCGGCGGAAGACGCGCACCCGATGACAGGCGGCGGAAGACGCGCACCCGATGACAGGCGGCGGAAGACGCTCACCCGATGACAGGCGATGGAAGACGCTCACCCGAAGACATGCGACGGTAGACCCGCACCCGAAGAATATGCGACGGTAGAGCGCACCCGAAGAATGGGCGACGGTAGACGCGCACCCGAAGAATGGGCGGTGGAAGACGCGCACCCGAAGAATGGGCGGTGGAAGCAGCGCACCCGATGACAGGCGGCGGAAGACGCGTACCCGATGCAGGCGGTGCAAGAGGCGCATCCAAAGAATGGGCGGCGTAGACGCGCACCCGAAGTCAGGCTGGGGTAGACGCGTACCCGAAGACAGGCGGGGGTAGACGCGCACCCGATAACGGGCGGGGGTAGACGCGCACCCGATAACAGGCAGGGGTAGACGCGCACCCGATGAAAGGCGGTGGAAGACGGGCACCCGGCGACAGGCGGCGGTAGACGCGCATCTGATGACAGGTGGCATAGTTGCGCACCCGAAGACGGGCAGTGAAGAAGCGCACCCAATGTCAGGTGGTGGAAGACGCTCACCCGATGACAGGCGATGGAAGACGTTCACCTAATGACATGCGACGGTAGACGCGCACCCGAAGAATGGGCGGCGGTAGACGTGCACGCGAAGAATGAACTGCGGTAGACGCGCTCCCGAAGAATAGGCGGCGGAAGACGCGCACCCGGAGTCAGACGGCGGAAGACGCGCCCCCGACGACAGGCGGGGGTAGACACGCACCCGATGACGGGCGAGGGCAGACGCGCACCCTTAGTTAGGCAGCGGAAGACGCGCAACCGATGGCAGGCGGTGTTAGACGCGCACCCGAAGAATGGGCGGCGGTGTAGTGCACCCGTTGACCCGTCGACAGGCTGAGGTAGACGGGCACCCGATGACAGGCGACGGAAGACGCGCACCCGATGACAGGCGGCGGAAGACGCGTACCCGATGACAGGCGGCGGAAGACGCGCACCCGATGACAGACGGCGGAAGACGCGCACCCGATGACAAGCGGCGGAAGACGCGCACACGAAGACGGACGGTGAAGTAGTAGCGCACCCGACCGAACTCGCGAACCGGACTTCAGGCGGCGAAGCAGCTCACCCGAAGACGCACGGCGAAGTACCGCACCCCAACTAGGCGGCGGGAGATGCGCACCAGGTGCGCAGGCGGTGGATGTGCATCTGAAGGATAGATTTAGCGGAATACGCGCACGTATTGGCAATGTGGGGAAAGTTGCTCGGTGGGCTGGTGGCGTTTCACGACGAGAAGGCGTAAACCCAATGGGCCGGCGGCGAGTCGCTGGCATGCGGCTGATATTGCGAACGCGTCGAGAAGGAGGCGGTAATCTTGCACCCGATGGCCAAACGGCGGAATCCGCATAACCAATAAGCTGGCGCGCGGACGCGACGTGAACTCGACGTGCAGGACTGACGTGCATCTGAAGGATATACAGAAGAAGCGCGTACGCATTGGAAAGGTGGAGGAAGTTGAGCACCTGCTGGGCAGGCGCCAGGAGTCGAGAATCCGATGAGTAGGCGGTAGAAAATGCTCAGCCGACGTGCAGGCGGCGAGAAAACGTGCACCCGACGTGCAGGCGGTGGAAGACGCGTGCCTGTGTGCAGACGGCGGTAAATGCGAATCTGAAGGAAAGGTGACGGAGGGCGCGCACATACGGTAATGGAAAGAAGCCAGGGAAAAAAAATCTCTGGGCAGGTCGCAAGAATCGCGCACTCGATGAGCAGATTGCGCGAATCGTGTTCCCAAAGAGACACGAGTAGAGTGCTCGAAGAACAGGGCGGACGTCGTAGTGCAGGCATGGAAGACGCAGGGAAGTAGCGCGCTCGACGATCAGATGTGGCAGCGAAGCACCGGGAGTTACTAACCGTCGAGCCTCTGAAGAATAAGTTATGTAGCCCCGTAGGCCGAAGACCACATTGAAGTCCTATGAACAGACTGTATAATTTGCGGCACATTCATAGATTACTTTATTGACACGCAACCTGAAAAGGATGCAGAGATATTCAACTTCATCGACTTCGCATGAATTATTTCATGACATTACTTTGAAGAATCCACCAGAACTGTGTCATAATATAATTTTGTATTTCTTCCTTTGGTAGTGTCGTGATTCAATAATTCATATCTGCTCTCGACTGCTTTGGTGTAAAAGAAATAGAATACAAGAAACTTTTGCCTAGTCAGCTTTAGAGTAGATTTAACAAATAAATTAGGTACCTGATTACTTATATCATTGCACAGATAGTTCCAAATCAGTTTCATTTTCTCAGTTCTATAACAAGAGCTTTCTTATTCATTGATTGAATAAATAATCCCACTTTACTTTTTAATCGGGCTTCCAAGAAATTTTCTTTTGTAAGTAGTTATCTGCTTTCGTTATTGTAATTAGAGAATGATCTGAAAATACTTTTAGCAAAGATATAGTCGTACGTACCTATGTTACTTTTAAGATACACGAAGAAGTCGTCCTATGGTTTACATTAGTTATTATTAAAGCATGTATATTGGTTCCAAGCTAAAAGCATTTTATATTTCAATGATTATTTCGTTTTTCTGTCCTTGTTATACTTAAAATATCTTGAATTAAACGTAGATCAGTGAGTAGTAACTGTTTTTTTTTTATAAATAAATATCCCTGTTGGTGATACAGCAATATTATGCATTTCATTCCTTTATTCCTAGTTTAGGCAAAGCTAAAATAAAAAAAAGTTGTAAACGTAGGCCTGCAGCTCAAAAGGGTAAAAAGAAACGTGTATAATTATTATTGTAAGTAGTTAATGCTTGCTTACATACCTCTCCCAACGCCCGATATTATTATTTAGCTATGCTTTTGTAGCAGAATCAGTGTTCTTTTTTTTCTTATATTAATACTGAAGAGAGGAAACGTACAAGACTGTAGCATAAAACTAGCGATCTCCATCTATATCATAATTTCACGGGCAGCAGATATGATTGATCATCTTCAAGAATGTAGCCAAAACGAATATATGCCGCCATACCAAAGAGCGTAACGTTGCGATTGCCAATGCTGGTGTAGTAGCGATTGTGGCAATAAATAAACCAATAAAATGAATTCGTCCTCTACCTTACTACACAGCAGTGGACATTGCAGACCGTCGTCAAACCAGCGGTCTCATTTGCCGTTGTAGTTGGTTACGGTTGTGATAAGGTCAAGCGTCATTACCTTTTGGTTACTATACAGCGATAGGTGTACGACGATACCATGGAGGTTTCGTCCAACAGCGTCAGCGGTTGTGGCAAGACAGCAACCGTCAGTAATAACCTCTTGGGGCTTCAGGCTTCAAGTAATATAGCTGTAAATGTACGGCGGAGAGTAGCGTGTCTAGAAGATGGTTAAACGTCGAGC